GAAATATTTCTCTTTGAATTGGTCAAATTCTATTTCTAGTAATTCTAATTCTAGTAATCAGTTGATTAATTTATTTTTATGTATCTTGAAAATATTACCTTACTCTCATTCATCAGAAGAATGATTTACTTATTCCAGACTAAAGTTTCATTACTCATGTAAAAAGAAAGAGACAAGTTTGTAAATAAGAGAGCTTTTTTATACCACACAGGAATATCTTGCCTGAGACCTACAATTCTAGAAATGATAACATATACCAGGTTATACAAAGACTAGTTTTATTAGCATAGGAATGCAGTTCAATTACAGGGAATTAGAGGAGATGAAATACTGTGTTGTTAGCACATGTGTTCTAGAACTAGTTTGCCTGCATTTGAATCCAAAGTCTGCCACTTCTCTGTTGCTGACTCTACAGGTTACTTATCCATACTTCCATTTCTTCATGTGCCAGGTAGTTATGAAAATAGTCAAAGCAATTAATGTTGGTAAAGGTTTAGAACAGTATTTGACAAAGAGAAGATACTTTATAATCTTAGTGGATTATTTAGAGACACTTGAAAGAACAACTAGGAAATAGAATGTGCTTACAGGAAATGGTAGAGTCACATAGCCCAAGCACCGCCATTTGTGTACATTTGGTTTCCCCAAGCAAGGCATAATTAAAAGTGGAAGTACAGGAGCCAGTGACAGGAATGCTGAAGAAAGAGGGGATAATCTATAACAAGCGCACAAGTAAATAGAAGTGAAAGGAAGGGAAGCTGGAGAAGTTTTTCTGTAGTCTTTTTCTTCAAAAACAAAATCAAGCTAAGCTCATATTGTCCAGGATTAGGCAGTGGATGGGTATAAATTCGTGAACTAAGGTAGATGAATAGCAAGAACTCTAAGGATCTAAAATAACCATGTGGTATACCTCAGTCATTCTGGAATCACCCTTGCAGAGAACTACTGCAGTGTTCACACAGAGAAGCAGTGTGTCTCTGAGCACCTTCACCAGGCACTCTCAGCCAAACCAACAGACACAACGTCAACAAACAATCCATTTTAGAAGTCTCAAAACTTCTTTGTTCCGGTGTCTGGGAGTCACCATTCACATATCAGTCCTTTTAGTCTAATTGCCACAGAAAAATAATAATTCAGTCCAAGTGTCAAATTCACATTGGAGTCAAATTGAAATTCAAACCGCCTCCTATATTTACATATTCGTGTGTTCAAGAAATCAGAACTTGCTTGTTTCACTATTCACTGTTCACACTGGGACCTACCACTAGTGTTCCTCCCAAGAAGTAAAGGCTACGGGAAATATATATATATATATATATATATATATATATATATATATATATATATATATATATATATATATATATATATATATATATATACACCCTTGTCTAGACATGGGACAAAGGTTGATGTGTCATTTATATTCCAGAGTTCACCTAAGGATCAGGTGGAAGCTAAATTCATCTGAAATTCCATTTCTTCTCCTCCTGTTCCTTCTTCCTTTTTCTTTCCCCTACCCCCTTCTCCCTTTTCACTCTTTCACTTCCTTCTCCTAAGACAAGATCCTTCATTATTAGCTGAAATACAAATCTTTGGTTCAGGGTCTGACTCTGAGAGTACTCAATCAAGGACAACCCTTACTTGTAATGTATTCATTCATTCATTCACTCAAAAAACTGCACTAAGTATCCATGTGTTTTCTGCTCAATTCAATGAAGACAAGTTGTGTAAAATGTGATTATGAATATTCTCAAAGTATTATGTGAGACACATGAAGATTATCCTTGTTAGAGGTAAGGGAAAAGATAAAGGTGTGAGAATACAATCATATCTACTGTGGTAAATTACACCTGGTAAATTCTCATGCATGCCAAAAAATTTGTTAGTCCTTAACTTGCTGACATTTATTGAAGAAGAGCCAACAATTTACCTAAAATTCCATTTTATACAATACTTATTAGACTTTGTAAACCAGAGTATGAGAAATGGATGTATAGACAAATAAGTATAATATGGTGAGTGCACTTTGAATACTGCATAAAATGCTGTAGAAATGTGACAGAAAGGTACATTTCTAAGAAAATGGAAGGAAGGGCCTTGTAGAATTAATTCTAGAGAGAGGTAGAGAGAAGAATTTTTATAAATGGATATTGCATTCTACCACAATTAGGTGTGAATGTGTGCTGGCAGATCTCTGGAGGAGTAAGCAAGGTCTGGATGGAAGTATGGTTTGCATGAAGATTAGACAAGATAAATCCAGAGGTGTAAGTGGAGCCACTTAGTGGTAGACCTTAGGTACTTCAGAGCTTTATCTGGTAGCAATTGGATACTGAGAAGTATGTAGGATTTACCTATGTGTGTCTTAACATATGGACAATGTGTTAAAGAAAAGTTTACATCGTAAATAGTAGTCAAAAGACTATTATTCAGTTAAATTATCACTTCTAATATACAATCACTTAAAAACTAGTATGTATTTTTAGAAAAATTATTGCAGAATTGACAAGAAGGTACAGAAATTTCCCACATATCTTCTGCCCTCAAATATCAATAATCAATAATACCTCACCCCCCATTTGTTACAGTGTATGAGCCCATAAACCCATTAAACCCATTTTAACATATCAATACCAAGAGTCAACAGTTGACCTTAGTTCCACTCTTGCTGCTTTCTTGCTAGGTTTGTACAAATGTATAATGACCTGTATCCACCATTGTAATATCACATGGAACACTCTCACTTGTAGAATGAAACTCCCCAGGCAATTTTATCTAGTATGTATCTAGTTTGATCCTAGTGAATCAAACAGACACACTAGTTGAATACAAGCGAGCACTTGAAGAATGTCCAGAAGACTAGAAAGGAGTTAAGCAAAAGAGATAAAGAGGTAGTTTGAAATTAATGATCTACTGGTTTAAGGAGTATACTGCAGAAATCAGATGTGGCAAAAATTTCTAATGACACTTATGGGGAAAATGATGGTGTGTTCTTAAGGCAAATAAAGACCCACCAGAGGAATAGTTTATATGTGCAGGAAGGAAGCAAACCCTTAGCTCTTCATAGATTATATTGCAGCCTCCCCTTCCTTTATTCTTCTCCTGCTATTTGACATTGGACAGCCATATGACATCCAAATTCCTAAAGTTGTATCTACTACTAAACTTTTGTCAACAAATAATGCAAGACTGAGTGTGTTTACTTAATTAAAGCAGTGATCTAAACAAGAACCAATTAGTATAACATCAGCATGAGAAACTTACTGGCCAGCTAAAATAGGAACCTATTCTAACCAGATTGTTCTTTAGTATATAATGAGGGACTTTTCATGCAAGAGTGCAAAACAGGCTTTGAAAGTATCACAAAATAAATTGGAAAATATGTGATTTTCCCCCCAAGTCAAACCACTCTTCCAGAGTCGATGTTTCAGTGAAAAGTACTACTAACTTTTTTTCTACTTGCTCTGAAATAGATACTGGCCAAGTGTCAGCTCTGCTGCAAACAACACTTAGCACTTCATGATCCTTCAGACACTGCCTTTATAAAACAGAAATTATCCTTCCGTTTAACACACTCAAGAGTTGGAAATCTAAATGTCTGTATGGACAAACATGTAATGTCATGTCACTTAGGATAGGTACACTGCCTTGGATGATCTTAGTAACATTTTTGAGAAAGAAAACACTCTAAGAAGCCAATAAAAAATAGGCTGAACTAAAACATTAGATTCCATTTCTTTCTGCTTCCTGTTTTCTCCTTTTTTTTTTTTTTGTCGGTCTTAGGGCTTGAACTCCCGGCTTGAGCGCTGTCCCTGAGCTCTTCAGCTTAAGGTTAGCACTCTACCACTTGAGCCACAGCACCCCTTTCAATTTTCTGAGTAGTTTATTGGAGTTAAGAGTCTCACGGACTTTCCTGGCTAGGCTGGCTTTGAACCATGATCTTCAGATCTCAGCCTTCTGAGTAGGTAGGATTACAGGTGTAAGCCACTGACGCCTGGCTGTTTTTTTTTCTTGTAACAATTTCTTGTTAGAATTTCATTCTGCTTCCCCCCCCCCCCGCAACAGAATTACTAGAAAATATAGACAATAGTTTTTAGCTATCAGAAAATACTTTCTTAGAATTTTGCAGTTGCAGTCAGTAAATCTAAGTTATAATCTAACAAGTATGTTGAGATATGTGCCAGTTTTGTACCTTCACCCATTCATTTTGGAAAGTCTTATCGGCCAGGCACTGTGATTGTTGATGGAGATGCAGTGGCAAGCAAAACCAGAGCCGCTGCTCTCTGACACTTATAGCTTAGATGTAATGACAAATATCAAATAAGTTCCTAAAAAGAATAATAGTGGTGTTCCCCACATACGGTGAGGGACAGTCTTAGTCAACAGGATGCTTTCTGAGGAAGTAAATTTTCAAACTGAGATCGTAGAATGACTGTGTTAGACATGTGATGTAGGAATGAATGAATGATGTACAAAGGCTCTGGAGTGAGAAGAGGGATGCTGTTCATAATGTTCAAAGGTGGGTAGGGCAACATGCAAAACAAATGGCTGTTTGAAAACAAGAAGTTTCCGAGAGCATTCAGAGACTAGGGCCTTTGAGGTAAAGAATTCTGGTCTTCATCCTAAGAGCCAATAGGAAATAATGAAAACTAATACACTGAGAAGTAGCAAAATTAGATTTGCCTACAACAAATCATTTAAAGCCATTCTTCAGAATTAAACAGAAATGGAGGTATCTGCTGTAAAGATGTACAAGTTATCAGACATGGTCGAGTGCCAGATGGGGAAATGCAAGAAGATCAAGACATGGAGAGAATCAAAGCATGGAGATAGGAATGAAATGGCTAGAGGAAGATAGTAGCTAAAACATCTTTATTTACTTGGTCATAACCAGTGTGAGCTGATGTGAGTTGTTTTGCTTTCACAATATTCTAGGAAATGCCACCTGACAAAAGGGGTCTTAATCAATAATCGTGTCTCCTGAAACCCTCTGTTTACAGATCAGGTACCCCACAAACCACTATGCTTCCAGTTCAACTTCCTTACCCCACCAATGCTCTTCAACCTTGATGTGGAGTGACCATTTGGAAAGGTGAGATTTAGAAGCTGCTTGGATGGACAGGATGGCCTTTCCTCATCTCTCTGTTCTGCCACAAAGACAGCATATCCCTCAGAATTAGAATGCAAATTAAATATACACATCTGATTAAGGAGTACTAAATTCCATAGAAGAGCTGTTACTGTTTATAAAACTCTACTTAAATTAACTCCAGCTAAGAGCTTTCTGAGCCTGGCTCCAGTCTGCAATTCTGGCAAATCAATTTTCTTGCAATGAAACAGGCTGGCCTGGACATCACTGATTTTTTTTTATAAGAACATGTTACAGAAGGATTTTAAGGATAAGGTTTAGACTCCATATGACTATCACACTTTTGGTTATCTTTTTGATTTGATTATTTTACATGAAATAGACACTTCAGTGAATGGACACTTTAGAAAGCATAACCTAATATCGAATCAATGCATGATAGTCCATGTTATTACTTTTTTATTTTGTCCCAGTCACAGGACTTGAATTTAAGACCTGGATGCAGTCTCTTGGCTTGTGTGCTCAAGGATAGCACTCTACCACTGAAGCCACAGCTCCACTTCTGGCTCTTATGTGGTATTTAATTGAAGGAAAGAGTCTCATGGACTTTTCTACCCTAGGTGGCTTCAAACTGCAATCCTCAAAATTCAGTCTCCTGAGTAGCTAAGATTACATGCATGAGCCACTATTGCCCAGCTTATATTAAATTCTAAGCACGTATTTCCACTCTCAAGCACTTCATATTTCTGTTTGGATTATAGGATTAATTAAATAAACTCTGACAGGTATTATTGTAATAAGTGATGTATTTTTTTTTACAGTCCTGGGGATTGAACTCAGCGCCTAGGAACTGTCCCTGAACTTCTTTTGCTCAAGGCTAGCACTCTACCACTTGAGCCACATTACCACTTCCAGGTTTTTCTGTATGTAGTACTGAGGAATTGAACTCAGGGCTTCATGCATGCTAGGCTAGCACTCTACCTCTAAGCCACATTCTCAGCCTCTGATCTACTTTTTTTTTATTTTTATATAAAAGAAAGAATGTGAATGACAGGATTTCATTATTTTTCCAAATGGCATACTAACTTATGACCTGTCTATCTCTTCATTTGAATAGAAATTAGCATGCTTCTTTATTTAATTCTCTAGCTATTCTTAAATATAAGAACTCCTCTGTACACAAGTTATTATGAGTGTGGACATTCAACAGCTTAATTTCGTTGGTTATTTGTCCTCCCAATGACTGCAGTAAATGAGAGATGATCACTTTGTTTTTCAGGGGACATTGAATGCTTTTCAATGGGGATAAAGTCTGCAACTAAGCCAACATGAAAAGAATAAGCTGGGCGATTCTGAAAGATAGTTTTGACATGATAAGTCAAATACAATTTTTATTCATCTGACATTTACAATTCTACATATTTCTTTTAATAACTGAGAGATATGAATACATGTAGTTGGGGCTTGTTTTGCTATAAACAAGAATTTCATTAGGGGTGAGACAAAAGGAAAAGAAGTGGTAACTGATTATGTCTCCTTTTTATAGGTTTATTCTAATAGTATTTTTAATTTTAGGTAAATTTTATTGTACATATATGCCATTATAAGAAAAAAGCCATACTTTGTATAGAAACTTTGGGGAAAAATAGAAATATGGCTTGCTAAACTTGAGTTCCACCACTCAGAAAAAAAAATCTATCCTTAATTTAGAATAGTTTGTTCTATTCTTTTCTCCCTATGTTCTTCTTGATTTTGTTTTATATGCATATGATATTATATATGCATTTTTGTGCTTTCTTATTTCAGTTAGTATAAGCATTTCTCAGACAATTTGCAAATATTTTGCAAAGCTATTTTAATATTTATATGAGTCTATCAAAAGAGTATACTACAGTTTACTTAAACTTAATCTGTGGTCACATTTGGCACCATGACTAACAGTACTGCATCATTATTGGAGGGCTGAAATGCTGAGGGTTTTTTTTTAATGTGTGCATTTTTTATAAGAAGACTTTAAAGAAACATGTTTTTAATATTCTTTACAGATGAAGGTAGTCAGATTGCATCTGAAAAGAATGATAGATATTGCACATTTCATTACCAATGAAGAAAATTTATGCTTTGCTTCACCTTAATCGGAACTTCATTTATCATTTAAAAACATACAATGCTTTGTTTAATAGAAGAAAATTGCATTTCTTGTCCATTTCAGTTTTCACTCTTCATTATTAGTTTGGGACTGCAATTACATACATACAGCTCTTATTTTAGGATCAGTTGCTCCCATTTGTAAAACATATTATTGCTTCAAACAAGCATTATTTGACAATATATAGACATTTTACCATATCTTACTCTCAATATACACAGAAATTTAAAAGTTTATCCTTGTCCACACTTATGGTATCTCTCTCTCTCCCTCTCTATTCTAACAGATAATGAAAGAACAGAGGTGGACTTTTTAATTGAAATTCCTGCTTCCTGAGTTTGTATGTGGCTTCCCATCTGAGGAGAATTTTGTGCTTCGATTTGGATTGCATCTTTATTTTTGTCTCATATTTTATTTTAACATGTTTCTTGTCAGTAATGCATTCAGAAGCTAGTTTTATTATTATAATCCATATTCACTTGGTTCCTTTGAAGAATTTTGCATACTCATTTAAGAAGTTGGAAAGGGTTACACAAAATTATTGCTAGAAAGGTGAGCAAAAGAAAGAGTGGCATGCATGTTCTCCAATCGCACACCTTTATCTGGGTTTATCTTCTCCCGTGTGGCTATCTTTACATTTGCTACAGTTTCTGATTTCCCAACCTGAATTTCATGAATTGATATAAATTTTTGACAGTGAAAAGCAAACACATCAGGAAGAATCATTCATTAGACTTAATGAGATAGAAAAGTATGCCTCATGAAGGTAGGAACCATCATGATCCTTACACAGATTGTATAATTAACATTATACAGAGGCTATGTCCTCCCGGATTAGGCTTACAAATAAAAATTCCTAACTTTCAGTTCTGGTTACAGCTCATTTAGTAATCGGTTTAGTTATTATATGTTTCTTCCCTTAAAGACAAAGGAACGATAAGGCTAAGAGCACTTTTGAAGTGTCATTAACAGTAATAAGCTTAGTGATTATTAAATATTCAAGTAGAACAATGGAAAACATCAAGACAAAGACCCTAGTTATTACTTCATTTGTGTTTTATTTTTGAATCACCATGAAACATCACCTATAATTTCTTCCCAGGCTCTCAGGTAGCATCTAAAAAGGCAAAATTAATAAATGACAGCTACTGTACACCAAATGCTGTGACTTCTTTGAAATAAAAGTCTATTTTTGTCTGTATTGGAATTTTAAAAAATTCTGTGGACTTTTTTTCTTTTTTTTCTTCAAATACATTTTTAATTGTAAAGACACTGTACAGAGGGGTTACAGTTACACGAGTAAGGTAATGAGTACATTTCCTATCAAGCATTGTTTGTTGCCTACTCCTTTTTTTCCCCCTACTATTCCTTCCTTCCCCACCTCCCCAAATACTCTCTCCAACCCCCTCCCCCTGCCAGAGTGGTAAAGTTCGTTTTCAACATAGGGTCTTGCGCATCTCATTGGTTTTTTATTAATACGTTTTTTTTATTGTGAAAATACCGTACAGAGGGCTTACAATTACATGGGCAAGATAATGAGTACATTTCTTATCAAGCATTGTTGCCTCCTCCTTTGTTCCTCCTCCTTTTTTTTTCCTTACCATCCTTGCCTCCAATCTCCATGACTACACTCGTTTTTTGGGGGTCCGGTCGTGGGGCCTGAACTCTGGCACTGGGCGCTGTCCCTCAGCTCTTCAGTTCAAGGCTAGCACTCTACCACCTGAGCCACAGTGCCACTTCCAGCTTTTTTTTTCTTTTTGCTTATGTGGTGCTGAGGAATCAAACCCAGGGCCTCAGGCATGCAAGGCAAGCACTATACCACTGAGCCACCTTCCCAGCCCTACACTCGTTTTTTGACATAGCATTGTTGCAATGAAATGTACCTGTATCCCTATTTAAACAATTTGTTTTTTTCCGTTCCCCTCCACAAATTATACCAGCATCAAATACAGTAAAAAATAAAGGGGGGGATATGCTGTGGGGGAGGGACATACAAAGCAACAAAAAAAATCATCTTATAAATATGTAGAAGCAATAGCAAGCAAGAAAAAACCACTTGAATCTTTATCTTGGGGTTTATTTCACCTAACATCAATTTATCTGACCTTTTCTGCTTGACTCAGACATATACTAGTTATTGGAAATAAGGTAAACCATGGGACCTATGTTTCTTTGCACCTGGCATACTTCACTTAGTATAATTTTTTCCAAGTCTTTCCACTTCCTAACAAATGGGGCAATATCATTCTTTCTGATGGAGGCATAGAATTCCATTGTGTATATATACCACATTTTCTTGATCTATTCATCTACTGAGGGGCATCTGGGTTGGTTCATATCTTAGCTATGGTAAATAATGCTGCAACAAACATAGTTGTGCTGGTAGCTTTAGTATGGTCTTGTTTGTGATCATTTGGGTAAATGCCCAAAAGTGGGATTACTGGGGCACAGGAAAGCTCTATGTGGAGTCTTTTGAGGAACCTCCAAACAACTTTCCAAAATATTTGAACAAGTTTACACTCCCACCAACAATGCCTTGGAAGAAAACATCTCCTTGTTATAATGGGTCAGCCTGTATTCCTATTTAAGCATTTTGTTTTTTCCCTTCCCCTCCCTAAATTAGAAAAATGTATATACATGATGCAGGGCACCAGATCAAATACAGTGAAAACAGAGGTTATACCGAGGGGGAGGAACATACCAAAGAAACAAAAAAAATTGCATAGTACCCTATAAATATATTAAAAACAATAGCAAGAGAAAAAAAACTATTTGTGTCCCTATCTTGGGTTTCATTTCACTTAACATCATCTTATATGGTCATGTGTACATAGCTTTTGACCTTTTCTGCTTGTCCTAAACTTATTGCAAATAAGGGAAACCTTGGGACCTATGTTTCTTTGGGACTAGTTTACTTCACTTAACATAATTTTTGTGGGCTTTTAAAAAAGTAATTTTAGTCATCTCACTCTTATATGTTTTGAAACTAATGTTTCTCAACTCAAGCAAACTCTCTGCTCTTTTCTACCTCTCTCTTTCCCAGCTCTCTCTCTTTCCCAGCTCTCCCAGCTCTCTTTCCCAGGTCTTTCTCCACCACGTGGAGGACCAAGATGGCCTGGTGCCAGCCGGAATGATGAATAAACCTACCCCTTACCTAAAAAAAAATACTCAGATTTGTCTCTAGAAAATCTGAAATCAGAGCCATATACTTTTTTAGGCATTGAAAGTTGAAGGGAAACTAGATGTTACTCATTGAAAAAGGACAAATAAGCTTTGTAAAGCTCATTGAACAAAGAGGATTTTTAAAAGGTATTTGATGCCATTACTGAGCACAGAAGATAATGTTGGTCAGTTTTTTTAAGTTGCCTTTTTTTAAAGTCAGGCTAACTTATCTGAATATTTTAATTTAAAGTTCTGTACCTGTTCACACAATTTTGAAAGATATAATAAACAGTTGTACCTCTGTTTCATATCATAGTAATAAAAGTCTCATCTTGAGTTCTAGGTCATCTGCCTCTCCCAGTGCCTTTGATTTTAAAGTCTTACGACTTCAGAATTTATGATTTTGATTTGTTTTCCTCCCTAAACCAACCTGCTCTTCAGATATGAGTTGACTTTTCCCTTTCTACTTTCTTATGTTGAATTTTAACTCACAGAGTTTCAGAATATGATCTTATTTGAACATAGGGTATTACATACATAGTTTGGTTCCAGTGAGGTAGACTCCTAATCTAATGTGACTGATGTCTTAATGAAAAGGGGAATTTGAACGTGAGTGCATACCCAGGAGGAGCAATATGTGAACATGAAAGCAGAGACAGGTTGATATGTCCATAGGCCAAGAAATGCCATTTTGAACAAACCACCAGAGATTAGAAGACAGTCATAGAATAGATTTGTAGTTCAAGGAAGGAGTTAGCCCTTCCAATACCTTGATATAGGACTTTCAGCCTCTAAAACCATTAGATAATACATTTTTTGGTATTTAAACAATCTAGTATATGGTACTTCATTATAACAACCATAGGAAACCAGTGTTAATATATCATCTTCACTACTGTGCTAGAAAATATTTTTCATTGGCTGATGAGTATGTCCCTTTCCCCCTTTTGCTTTTCAGAGGATGAAAAAGGATGACTGTAAAGATGAGATAATTTGTCATCTGGTGAAACCTTATATCAAAAAAGTTTTTGTAACACATCTGTGGATACATTCCAATAATGAAAAGTTATTTGATAGAAGTGTGAACCTGAACCATAGGAGCCTTCAACCAAAGTCAAGGAAGGAATTTAGCAGTAGGAGAAATTCAGTAGGGATAGAAATAATAAAGTTTGCTATTAGTAAGGGGGAAAGGGAGTGGTCCTGATCATTTGGGAAGTGTTAAGAGATTTCCAAAAAAAAAAAACTCCTTAGAAAACAATGAAGAAAATAAAAGAGAAGGTACTGGTTTCAAGAGAAAAACATCCTTCAACCTCCTTTTACTAAATATGAGTAGCTTTCATATACTTGGTATATCATTTTCCATCCCTTCATTTGTAGCATTTTTTTCAATTAACAGTTGGATCTTTCCTTTTTAATTCAGTCAGCCAGTCTGAGCCTTTCAATGGGACCATTTACATTGAGAGTTTTTACTGGTTTTTATAATTTTATTGGTTCTTTTCCTAGTTGGGTTGAGTACTGTTTTTTTCTCTGTTACTCATCTTAGGAATTTGCTGGTATACTGAAGTGAATATGCTTGATTTCTCACTAATTCTATTTATTTATGTTTCTTATCAAATCTCCTCCTTTCTGATCTCTAGTGTTTGTTGTGCCCTGATCTTTTTTTTAAATCTGTTTTGAAATTCAATCTTCTTTCCTCTTAACTTCATCCTTTATTCTCCTCTTTTTCCCTCCCTCCTTCCCATTCAGACTTCAGAACATATTCAGTATGCGAAGGACTATGTGCCATCTTGGGAAGAGATGAAAATACAGAATCATTCATGTCACCATAGGAGCCCATACTGTGACTCCATTGTCATTTTTGTCAAGTAGACTAAAGCAATTATTGAGTCATGACTCTTAAAAATTGGTGCAGTTATGGGTTAGCTGTCGACTAATTTTATTTCCATCTTGTATTTAAAAGAATTTTAACTCAGGCAAATCTGATACCTTCCACAGTCCATTTTCAAGTTTACTGTCAATTGATGGTATTGAGCTAATAGTATTTGCCACCATTACAGGAATGCCTATGCTCCAGTTTATGTGGTTGCCATCCATCTCTGTGGTCTCTGAGCTTTCAACTATTTATTTTGTTTCTCATACAACTTCCATTCTTCCCCAAACTGAGCAATTGGCTCTAATCTAATTGGGTCACTCAAAAATAAAAAAGGATACAAACTAAAACAGTTTTCCCACCACATCTTTTATGAGATTTTTGATTAACCTCTTAGGAAGAAAATGTCAGTGTTTTATGATCAGATACAGGATTACTTTAGAATTGTCTTCCTTAATTTCAGCCAGGGATGACATGTGTCACTGAGATTTTATTCAATCTCCAAACCCATTCAGTTTCCTAGTCAACATCAAGTCAGATCTTCTGTGATTATGGCTGGAAGTAATTCTTGTTGTGTCAAAGCCTCTGGAATGGTTGATAGTCTCAAACATGCTGCTCAGTGTATGTTCCTAATGCATGTATTGTAAGTGTGTTTTGACATTTAGGTTGTTCCAGTAAAAGCATAACCCCTCCTTCATTTTCTCTTCTTCATGTAAGTATGCATGAAAACTCTCTGAAACTAGGAGTATTATTCTTAGTGAGATTCTGTGAGAAGACCTCACTTTAATATCATTTGCAAGAGTAGATGTCAAGTTTTCTTTTTTAAACTCTCATATGTCTTCTCTTTTTCTTTGTACTTATTTGGTAAATATGCACTTTCACATCTGTTCTATTTAACTAAAACAAAATGCCTGTATTATAGCAAAATGACATGGAGATAATATTGAATTTGCTTGTCTACTCACAGAGAAAGCTGTTATAGTAAAAAGGAGAGGATATTAGATGTGATATCAGAGGTGCTGGATTTTCATTGATCTATGTGAATTTGGATGTGTAATTTAAAGCTCTAGAATTCAGTTCCATCATCAATATGCTAAGGCTTTCCTATCCTATTCAGGATAGCTATGAGGTTTAATAAGAGTATGTTATGTTGCAGC